ATCAACGCTGCTACACTGCTGGCCTTGACTTCACAGAACAGAGAAAGTCCAACTGCTCAGCAGCCCAGAGCACACTGGCAGCTCCCTTGGGAGGCTGTGCTGGAAACCAGAACGTCCACAACCAGCTACCTGTTTCTCCCTCACCCCATTTTACAGCAAAGTCCCAGAAGGATCTTGCCCAAAGTCAGAGAGCTGACAGCTAAGCTGAGACCACAGCCCACGTTCTCTGGGCCTCCCCTCTGTACCACTTTGCTTTCTCCAAGGTTCCAAAAATGGGGGATGGGGTTTGAGGAAAAATATTTGGTTCTAGTGAGAAGTGTTTCCTGATGCATGTACACCCAGAGCCTGCAGCTTCAACTCATCTTATCAGCACAGACCTCCTGCCCACGTCCATCTCTCAAACCAGAATGCTCATAAATACACTTTGTTGATATAGAGTCTGGGTGTCCAGTTTCTATTCACTCTCATTTATCACCTTCTCTGACTCTGTCTTGATGTTTATTTTCACTTTAAAAACCTCATCTTATAAGAACAGAACCCTTTTTATCTGATTTTAGTTCTTCCTCTGCTCCTTGGGTCTAATCAATCCATGTCTGGAAAGAAACAAACCAGAAATGAATGCCACAGTCCCTTTTGTGAAAACAAGCACCTTTCTAAAATGATCTTCCCTAGGCTTAACACAGAGAGAAATTTAAACAAGACAGAAATAAAGATGCCCCCAGCAGGAGCCCTACGCATTCCTTACCAGGTGGGACGTCAGGGATGGCAACCCAGTGTGAACATCTAAGCCAACCACTCTGCCCCACATTTTTCAGGTTCAAGAAACCCGAAGACACATTAGGCTTCAAAACATAATGGTGTACATGTACCAGCCTCTTCACTACGAGGTGCCTACAATCCTCAAGATAGTTAGAGGGCTGCTGAACAATCAGCCAGAGGTAAATGTAAGCCTCCTGCTGCTACAGGGTCAGGGGAAATGCCACACAGACAGATCCAGACAACTGGCAACAAACGTGGACACTCCCCACATCATGTCATTTCACACCTACCTGCAAAGTAGAGTTCTCACACACCTGCTACCCGCCCCCAGCTTCAGCTGGCAGAGGAGGCTGCCTTTACAGAGAAAGTGAGAATCAAGTTCCCCACTAGCCAGCCTATCCCTCCTACCACGGCTCCAACCCTAGGCTTTCAGAAATAGGTCACATGCAACTCTTCTGAGAAAGACAGTAGTTATTTCTTAATCCTTTGAGGATCCTTTGGAAAATCTGATGGGAGCTCTGTACATCCCATGAAAAACTGTACACATGCAATTCATATGCAATTGCACTCAGAGTTACTGCCCTCCTAGGAGGGCCAGAAGGGCAGAAAGGGCTAATACACTCAGAGGAAGCTTTGAGAAAGGCAGCTACAGGAAGTCCAGGTGAACTGTGAACCACACAGTTCCTTGATAAAGAGGGGAGAGAAACGATATCCCTTACTTAGCTACTGCAAGTTCGAGCCTTCAATTAACCTTTGAGATTTCAATAAAAATTTAAAAACAGCCATGTGTGCACACATGCACATACACCAAGGGCTCTGCTTCTTCTGGATTCCTACCTTGACCTCACAAAATGTCCTGTAATCACTAGTTAAGACAGTCTCAAAAGGCGCAGCACAGCATGGCTGAGTAAGAGCAGATATAAACGGCAGCAAGGTGGACAATGGGAGCAAGTTCAGATAAGGGGAAAGGGACAGCCAAGTTTTCTACCAGCTCTGCGTCTATCTTGGCAGGGAAAATCCTGACCCTTGCTTCCTGCTGTCCCTAGAAATCAGGGCAGACCTGCTGGCTCCCTTGCAGCAAAGCAAGAGGTCCAAACTGAAGCAGCTCTTTCCCTCTGGGCCCAGGGAAGGGAGAGCATCTTCTGGTTTCTAGGGAATAGACCCTGGCCCAATACTTGTCCGCAGCCCCCTGGTGGCCTGGGGGTGTCACTACAGCCCCCTTTGCATTGCTGGGCAAATACCTCCTATAGGGTACTCTCACAGTGATGGGGTAGAATAGGCACAAGTGGCCACAGTCTTTAAGCCATTGTAAGGCTGTGTTTGTCTTGGATTTCTTAAACCAAGACTCAGACTCAAAGTGATTCTTCTAAATTCCTCCCTGGTACAATCTCTGCAGAAAACCAGTCCAAGACCTACTTCATTAAGCCAATAACCTCAGAGATTCTGTTAACTTCTGTTGATCATTCCCTTCTGCAACACATGCAATTATGTACAATTGTCCCAAAGCTCAATAGAAACAGCAGGAATGAACATCTCTGGTCTGTACGGTGCTAACTAAATTACTAAATATCTGTAAGATACCCAGTACCCCTTAAACCCTAGATTTTTTGGGTAACAGGTCCTACAGGGGTTTGAGGGAAGTCAAGACTTGAAGACTCACAGTGAGAGTATTTCCAGCGGCTCCTGTGCCTACAAATGCAGAGGGTCTCCATTAAGGAACCTGAACTCCACTTTCATTAGCAGCTCTACCAAGGGAAAGAGTGGAGTCTGAGGTGGTGGGAAGTTAACTGGTTCGGGGGGGTTCAGCTGCTATTCTAGGAGGTAAGGATGATCAACTGAACCCCTGGTGAGAAAGTGTGCAGGGAGAAAGGATGCAAAGTTTGGGAAAAGAGAGAGCTGCTGTGTCTGGGGGGCCTACAGTAGACCAGGAACCAGGGAGGGCTGGGGTCAGGAAAATGCACGGAAGTAAGGGAAGATCTTTTCCTGGGGTGGGAGTGAGAAGTGGGAAGCTTACCTCCCTGATTTTCTCCCGCTGGGCTCGAACTCGACTCTGGGGCTCCTTACTTTCATCAGTTCTTGTCCCCAGGACTGGGTGGCGGAGGCGACTCCTGAACGCGTTGAAGTCAAAGCTGAATGGGATGCTCTCCTCACCCGGCCTGAGGGCCGCAACGCCGCTGCCTCGGGCCGCTGTGGCTTCCTCCCGCGGTCCGGTGGGGCGGGTGCGCCGCAGCCATCCCTTCTTGCG